CCCTCCATCCATCCTGACCTTGGCGCGAGCGTCAGTGAGGTCGTCTGTGGCCCCTCCGACGATGTTCGAAAGGCTGGATGCACAGAAGGCGGAATCCGTACCGCCGTGCTTGACAACGTTGGAGAGGAGAGAGATGCAGCCAGAGAGATATACTTGGTCCCGATACCCACAGGCTGTCCGCATACACACATACACTGATGGCAGACCCATGCCCCATCCCACCCTCACCGGTCAGCACGGATGGGACCGCAAGGGCGCTCGCGCACGTACGTTCTACCTCACCGGCCGCTTCCGTCAACGAAGTCGACACATAGGCCTGCAGCGTGGGTACATGCACCTGCGGTCACACGGCGTACGGTCCCATTAGTCATCGTACCTCCAATGCCTTGGGAACTCTCATGAGACGCTCGGCAGGCGACTCAGCTGCATCAGCAACGAAGGAGAAATAGTCCCAGAGCCTGAAGATGTGTCCCATGGATACGGCGGCTCCTTCGCGCACGGCCCGCTGTGCGTCAGGAGAGGTCAGGGTGGCGGCCAGTGTGTCGACGTGGGGGTAGATGTGCTGTTGCAATGCGGCCAGAGACGCTGTCCTCAAGGAGACATTCGGCCTGCACAAACGGGTCGAATGTGCATCATACGATATGTGCAATCTTCGTCTTACGATCTATGTGTGTCACGTAGTGGATGTGCTCGCGGACAAGCAGTTGGATAAGGACAGCCGGACTCATCTCCGCGTCCCCCGTCGTAAGCCTGCACGAAGGAATGAGGGAAGAAATACAACACGACCGTGGGGCTACCTGCCTGATTGTGCGCCGTTGCTTACATCATGTCACGAATTTCCCGTCTTTCGTGTGTCATGATGCGCACAGCCGTCGAGAAGAGCGAAACCCACAGGAAGGTCGGCATGGGAGCTGGTGGGAATGCGAACCCGGCCTCGCGCGGCGCATACATGGCCCCGATGAAGGTCAACGCCTTCGCACTGCCGCGACGCCCATCCACGATCCCGTCCACGCTGGAGGCGGCCCGTTTGAGAATCTCGGGGTGGTGCTGCACCAAGAAGTCCCGGTAGTCGGCCGCGTTGCCCTCCCTCCGGCCCCTGGCCATGATCCCTTGCAGCAGTGCAAAGGCGACGCCGGTAGTGAGGTCTTCGTCCACCTCGGACAGCACGGCGCACAGCGAGCTGATGGATGTCTGAGGCGAATCGCCGAGAGATGAGATGGCCTCCCTGGTGAAGGGGAACATGCTATGGGTGCACAGGAGGTTGAGCACGAGTGTGGCCATCTTCTGGCGTGTCTCGTGGGTCATGTCGGTGAAGGCACGGAACACTCTCCCGACCAGCCGCTTGTTGCGCAGCCCGGACAGCTCAGGCGGCACCTCTGCCTGCGCTAGTGCAACCAGCGCCACCGAACCAGCCTCCGCGCCGACCACTCTGAGGCTGCTGTCGAATACATCCTCCGGCAGCTCCTCTGGCGAAGATAAGGCAGCGATTGACGCATCTATGTCGTCTATGTCGTAAGAGCCCATCTTCTCCGTCATGGCTGATCAGTCACCGCTGGCTGCTAGAGGGCGGTCCGGCATCACGTACAGTGGCCACGTCGAGCACCCGACGCCCATGCTGCAACGAACGGCAGTACAGTCCCATGCGCCGACATCAGATGGATGGATGAATGTGTTTTTTGCAACTTCTCTCACCTTCCAGGCTGGTGCCGTCTGTGCAATGCAGCCCTCTGCACGTACAAGAGGCAATGGGGAGGGATCAAGGCTCGCAACAAGCTCGCAACCAATAGGGTGCTTCCTGAAACCGCTGCTGCAGAGGAGGCGAAGATGGGGATATTGAATCCCGTGTTGTTGCAAGTCGGCTCGCTCATCTGCAGCGTCGCAGTCGCAACATTCGTGAGTTCTGCCTGATTTCCGTAATCTGGTCTCCATTCACCATTCCTCTCTGTCTGTGTGTGCGTGTTTTGTGTGCTTGCAGGCTGTGTTTCGGCTGATCGGCTTGGGCGGCTTCAATGTGACGGTGCTGGTGGTGTCGCTGTTCCAGCTGCTGTCTGGCGTGCTGCTGTTTGTGGCCGACTTCAGAGCCCTTGAGGTCTTCGGCTACATCAAATTCATCTACACGGGTACAAGCGGTGGACACGGCCACACACATACACACATAGGGGCGGTGACTGACTGTGTGAAGTGTCTGTTTGTTTTGCGCCAGCGACTGGCCGCGGCGGCTTGATGGTGTTGCTGGGTGCGCTGTGCCTGGGGAGGAGCCCATGGGAGATCATTGTCGGCGTCGCTTTAATGTTTATCGGCGTCCTGTTCTTCCTATTCGCATGCGTCACAAAGGGTGCGCACCGGAGCCAGGCCCTGTGTGCTGTGGGCCGATGTGCTCGTGAATCTGTCTGTGTGAGTGTGATATGTGTCAGGGGTGCCGAAGCCGATTTTACAGAGGAATGAGTTGACGATAACTCTGGGCGGTGATGTGTACTTCGTTGACTCGAGCGGTGCACAGACAGCGACGGTGGGCGGGGCACCGGCGGCTGGAGGGGTTGGACACACGGCGTTCTGATGGCACACACACAACGAATGAAGGGAAGAGGAGGCAGACCATTGAGTTGAAGGGCCTTTGTTTGTGAGTAGTTAGGATGGATAATTGAAGCCGGGTGTGGGGTGTGTGGGTGTGGATGAGAAGCGCCGCTATTTGTGTACAGAGGGAGGGACGGCTGCTACCCGTTGCGGGCTGACTGCCAGTGAGATTGAGATGTGAGGGTGGCTGCATGTTTCACAGACACATCCACACACTCATTTATGTGCCCGTCCACGTGCTAGAGCCCGACGGACGGACGGGCACACCCGCGTATGTGCGTATGTGTGCATATGTTCTGTCCACCAATCAATTCAATTCAATGCAAGTCAACCCAGTCAACGCAATCCACCGACACGAAAGAACGACCACCAATCACTGCGCCATTCCCCCCGAACCACTGAAGCCCCCCACCCCTCCCAATCGGCCGCCCTGTGCGGCGGTGGCCATGAGGCCGCCCCTGCCGGCTGCCATCTGCAGCCCCAGTGCGCCCCTCTTACCGCCCAATGTGCCGGGCTGCGCGGGCAGAGTGGCTGCGAGTCGGCCCATCTTTTGTGTGCCCGACACGATGTAGTTGGTCAGCTTCTTGTGGCGGTCACGCATTCGCTTGATCTGCAGAGACACGACGATACACACCGCGAGGGGGGGGTTTGGAGTCTTTTATAGGTGTGTGGGTGTGGGTGACCTCTTGCTGTGCTGTTTTGATGGCCTGTTGGCGGTCGTCGAAGTCACGCGTCAACAAATCGGAATTCACAATCCTGACACACACAAGGACAGGTATGAGACGTGTCTCACTGGAGTGCCATCGTCTGGTTTGCTTACCCGGTTTGTTGTCTGAGTTTGACGTTTTCGAGCCGGTAGTCGTCCCTTTCGTGCTTGGTCTTGGCCACCAGGTCACGCTGACTCGACAACTCTACACACACACACACACACACAGGGAGAGGGACAGAGAGAGAGAGAGAGAGGGAGAGGGAGAGGGAGTGAGGGAGAGAGGGAGAGACACAGCTCAGAGTGCACACACGTGTCCCTGTGTGTGAAGGGGCAAGGGGTGTGTATGTGACCTGATTCTAGCTGCGAGAGTTCTTGCCGTAGTGTGTCGACCTCGTAGTGGAGGAACTGCAGCTTCTCCCGCATGTGGGTGGTCACCTGGACGGTGCTCACCGTCTTCTTCCGCAGCTTGTGCAGCTCCTCGTTGCGCTCCTCTATCTTCTCATTCAACGTCTGGCGGTCGCAGGCACGCACGCACACACGAGGCAACACACCCAGCGCACATACATACGAAGAAAATCGCCATTCCTTACTTGGTTTTCGATTTTGAGCTGTTCGAAGTCGATGATATGGAGGTTTTCGGCGAGCTCGTCTTTCTTTCTCAGCTGCTGCTCGAGGCGTGAGAGCCTGTTCTTGAGCGAGATGTTGGCGCCGCGAACCTCCTCGACCTCATCGTCCTTCTCCTTCTCAAAATCCTCCAACACCTTCATTCATCGCCACACACACGCATGGCTGTGGTGGGGGGGTCGGGAGGAATCAGCTACTTACCTGTAGGACCTTGGGTGGGATGGGTTTGCCGGTTCTCGAGTACTCGGCGTTCTTGGCCACCTGCCGCTTGAACTCCCGAAAGGCGTCGCGACACTCAATCGCCTTCTGGCGCTTCTCCTCCAACTGACATGCACACACGCATGACACCCACACACACACACGTGTGTGTCTTCCTTTCCTCCCCATCCATACCTTGTTCTTGAGTTCTTCTGACATGCGCGCGGCGCGGACTTGTATCTGTCTCAGCTTGAGGCGCACGCCGTGGACGTGGTGGAGGACGTTGGTGTACTTGGCTTCGGTGACGCGAGTGGCGGTGTTGGCCATGACGTGCGGCTGCTCCATCCCGCCAGCCTGCGAACCGAACTTGTGACGCCACAAGGCCACCTGAGAAATGCACAGAGAGACATTGGAGAGGGGGGGGTGTCTGTTTGGTGTTGGGTGGGGGGATGGGGGGCTTAAGTGGGTGGGGCGTACCTTTCTCTGCAGCTCTGCGTTGTCTTTTTGAAGCTCGTTCTGCTGCTGCTCGAAATCCTGATTGAATGTGTCACACAGACATGCAGCCACTATCTCTCTCTCTCTGTGTCTCTCGGCCGACTCACAACGAGGAGGTTGGTGAGTTCCTCGTGTTCATCCAGCAGCCTCTGCTCCTCCCTCTGCCTCATGATCTCCTCGGTGTCCTCCGGGACCAGCTCCTCACCCACAGCCGACAGCTGCTCCTCACCCTCCTCGGCCGACTCCTCGGCCTCTGTCTCGGCCTTTGGGAAACCTGAACACACACAGACAGACAGACATACAAATAGACAGATGTGTGTGTGGATGGATGGATGGATGGATGAGGGGTTGTGTGTGACCAGGTGTGGGTATGGGTCCTGCGAGGGGCGGTGGGAGAGGCGCGGCTGCCTCGAACTCGGGCACCTCAGCAGGCGGCGGACGGAACTCCTCACCCTCTACGGATGGATCCACACACATGCATCCTTTACATCCTGGTGTCTATGTGTTTTGTGTCCACTGATTGACATACACACATTTACCTGCGGCCTCCTCTCCCTCAGGGGCCTCAGCGGCCTCCCCTTCGGCAGCAGCAGGCACCTCCGCGCCCTCACCTTCAACAGCCTCCCCCTCGACACCCTCGGGCACTCCCTCACCCTCAACAGCGGCCTCCTCGCCCTCAGCCACTGTCACAAACTCAACGCCCTCCACTGGTGGGGCCTCAGCAGCCGCGGCAGCAGCAGCAGCAGCAGCGGCCTCTGCCTCGGCTGCTGCTTGTGCTGCAAGCTCCTGCTCGGCGATGAGGGCCTTGGCGGATTCCTCATCTTCCTGGGCCTCCTTGGCCTTCTGCAGGGCCGCGAGGGCGTCTTCGTCCTCGACGGCGAGATCCTCTTCCTCCAGAATGGTGTCGATCTTGATCTCTGGTTGATGATGATATCGCTTTCCGATGGTTGGTGTCTGTGTTGAGTGTGTCTCGTGTGTACCTACCGGCGTGTCCCGCAGCGGCTGCTGCAGCAGCCTCTTTGCCTGCTTCGGCGCGGAGAATCAATCCCTCAGTCCACTCAGCCTGTCACGCACAAACAACCCGTACAATGTGTCTCTTTCATTCTTTCTTCAAGCGTGCGCTGCAGTCCGTGCACACCTTGAGGTGGGGCGTGTCTCCCTCATCATTGTGGATCTCAGGATTTGCACCCCACTCCAACATGCGCCTGACACCAATTGCAACATATATACTTGTCCCATCGTTTGTATGCCTGTGTATGTCAATGAATGTCTGTGTGTGACGACATACGTACCGTATGAGTTCGCCCCGTTCCTTCTTGACGAGTATATGTAGGCAGGTGTTGCCGTTGCGGCACTTGGTGTTGATGATCCGCCGCATCTCCTGCGGACGGTCCTCGCACTGATAGAAAAACTCCTCCCAAAACGAATCCTAAGAGATCCATCCAACCAACGACCATCCAAACACACACCCAGAAGGGACATGGCCCCACACACAGGAAACCTCTGTCTCTCTTGCCTTTCACCTGTGCATTCTCCATGCCGACTTCGGCCTCGTGAACGCACGCCAGAAAGAGCCCGGTGTCGCCATGTCTGTCCTTGGCGCCCACATCCAGCCCCTGCTTCAGGAAGTCCAATGCCTGTTCATAGTCGCCCCGTCGGAGGGCACTGGTCATCGGACAGTCACCTGCAGCCACAGACAGCCATGAGGAACCACACACATGAATGTATTTCATTGTACCATCGGTGTTGAAGGCGTATTGGTCTGCGCCTCTCTCGAGAAGGTATGCAATGGAGTCTCCCCTGCTGTTGAAAAGCGGTGTCTGGTCCTTGACGCCCGACGACCTGATGTTGACGTTGTTGCCGAGGGTCTCGACGAGGAACCGTGTGATGGCCAGTGAGAACTGACTCGCATGTGCGAGCATCGACTGGTAGCCGAATATTTCCACCTCCAAAGGCTGGCCCTCCTTCAACCCATCGATCTCCTGCGCTTGCACATACGATCGCAGCATCTGCAGGAAGGAATGGAATGGCATGCATCAAAGACACACACAAGCAGACAGGAGAAATGCAACTGTGTCCGTCTTTGTGAATGCACTCGTGTGATATGCCCACGTACGTCCTCGAGCGCCTCGACGTCATCCTCCTGGACGAGTGAAAAGATTTGGCCCCATTTCTCGGACGCAGGGTCCTCGGGGTTGACGTAGCGGGCAAACGCGGTGTGCTCAGCAATGTGGGAACCCGGCTCCCACGTCATCCTGCTTGCCTTGCCGATCTGCCGGTTGTCAGGGCTGGTAGATGAGTTGGTGCGGATTGCAGGCTGAGTCGCACCACAGAACTTCTGAATTCCTGTCTGGTGGCTGTCTGCAGGCGAATCCCTTCCCGAGATTTCGAGACTGCGGGCGTGCGGGGGCGGAAAGGTCCGCCTGCGAGCTGAGCTCGCAACAGAATTCGAAAATCGCTTCCGCAAGCGACGGTCTCTGCCATCGTGTCCACAGCTGCCCTTCAGCATGGAAAGAATGAAACTGCGACACTCTCCGCTGAAACAAAGGCGGGTGAGAAGAGCACCACTATCGGAGCATTACCGCCCCTGCAGCACTGAGGGCCGCTGAGCACACCAGACGACCTCTGCTCTGCCACGCAGGAGCCGCAGCCATCCCCTCTCCCCCCTAGTCAGCAATGCAGTCGATGACGGCCATGCAGCGTCTGAGCATTGCGAATCTGAGCCGGGTGTTCGGCTCGTCTGGGAATGAGAAGCGTGCGACGCCCGTCAAGCGGAAGGTGGCCCTCAAGGCCAAGACGCACGATGCCGGCAGGGTAACTGTCCAGGGCCCCTCCGGTCCCAAGGACAAGGAGGGCGCGGCGGTCACCGCGGGGATGGTGCATGCCGTCGCCAAGTGGAGGGGCAACGGCATCCGCACCAGCAAGTACACCGTCATCACTTTCCTCCCCAAGAACCTGTTCCTTCAGTTCACACACTTCGGTCAGTCGATTGGCACACACACATAAGACATTCACACGTGCTCCCTCTCTCTCTCTCTCTCTCTGTCGTGCGTCTGTGCAGCGAATCTATATTTCTTGTGCGCGGCGGGTCTGCAGATGATCCGGCCGATCAGCGACAGCGAGGGCCAGCCGACCTTCCTGGCGCCTTTACTGTTTGTGGTCGTGCTGTCGGCCATCAAGGACGCCGTCGAGGACGTCAAGCGGCACCGATCCGACAGGGAGGAGAACACGCGCATCGTGACGGTGCTGGACAAGGAGACCGGCGGCGGAGTGGAGAGGGAGTGGAAGGACATCAAGACGGGCGACATTGTCAAGGTCATCAATGAACAGGTGAGGGGCGTGTGTGCGAGAGGAGGGCTGGTGCACACCATTGTCTGTCGTCTGTGTGTGTCCGTGTGTGTGTGCCGATTGGTTGTCAGTATTTTCCTGCTGATCTGCTGTTGTTGAATTGCTCGGATGAATTCGGCATTTGCTACGTCGAGACCAAGAACCTCGGTACGCCTCGGCCGAGAGCCATTCTCTCAACAGCCCTCGTGGATGGATGGATGGATGGATACACAATGTGTGTGCGTCATATATATCAATCGTGTGCAGACGGTGAGACTAACCTGAAGCACAAGTCGTGCATCCCCGAGGTGGCTGAACTCGTCACGAGCGACGAAGAAGCCGCCAATGTGGAACGTAGGCCTCACTTCCCCCATCCATCCATCCATCCATGTGTCTGTGTGTGTGTGTGCGTGTGTCTGCCTTGGTCGGTCAGTTGAGCTGGTCTTCGAGCCGCCCAACGAGCAGCTCTATGCCTTCAACGGCCTCCTGCGCCTCCCACCCGCACCGCCAGCCCACTCGTCGACCAAATCCCTCAACACCACCAACAACACCATCAGCATCAACCAGGACAACGCCGCACACACGCCCACACCCACACCCGACGCCCTGCCCCCTCCCCCCTCTGTGCCGTCCGGCCTGGTGCCACTCAGCCCTTCTCGGTCGACCAGCAAGAAGGGCGCCAAGTCTCGGGAAGTGCCGATGTCGGCGACTCAGTTCTTGCTGCGCGGGAGCTCGCTGGTCAACACGGCGTGGGTTTACGGGATGGTCGTGTACACCGGGCATCAGACGAAGATCTTCCGCAACTCGTCGACGCAGGCTCGCGGCAAGTGGAGTCAGCTGGAGCGGACGTACAACAACCACGCGGTGTCGCTGTTCCTCATCCAAGTGTTCTTCTGTGTGCTCATCGCCGTGTGCCACGTCTTCTGGCTGCTTGGCCATGACGACTGGTGAGATGAGAAGGCACATCATCGACCACAGACAGACGGACAGACAGACGGATGTGGGTGCACATCGGAGGGTCTGTTTTCTCTCTCTGTGAAGGTATCTGGACTTGGAGAAGGGCACCGCCCGCGACACGGGGCTGCGTGCGCTCCAGGTCTTCGGCGCCCAGCTGATCCTCTTCACCTACTACGTACCCATCGCCCTCATCGTCACACTCGAAATCGTCAAATTCTTCCAGGTGCGTGTGTAGTGTTGGCGGTGTGCTAAGACACCAACCAACGAAATGAGTGAGTGGTGATCTATGTGTGTGTGTTGGCTACCGTGGTTGTTATGCGGTGCAGGCGCTGTTTGTGTCTTTTGACCTGGAGATGTATTCCGTGTCGACGGGTCGCTACGCCTCCAGCCAGAGCAGCAACCTCATCGAGGATCTCGGCGGCATCACACACGTCTTCTCGGACAAAACCGGCACGCTCACGCAGAACCTGATGCAGTTCAAGTACGTGTGTTGGCTGCTCGGCGACTTGTGCTATGCCTCTACACCCCCCGACACACACACACACACACACACACACATGGATGTATGTGCATGCGTGTGCAGGTGTACGGGGATCGGCGATGTGGTATACGGCCTGGAGGACAGGGCGGCCGACGAGCGGACCCGTATGATGAGTACCATGACCATGAGCCACGGCGCCACCCTCAGCGGCGGCAACGACTCTGCACCGCCAACTCCCCCACTAGGCGGCATGACGCGCCGGTCCACCATGCCCGGCACAGCGGTGCCCCCCAACCCCACGACCGAGACCTTCGTCAACTTCGACAGCGACCTCTTCTGGGCGTCCGTCGAGTCGGCCTCCGAGCGGCAAAGGGAGCTGGTACGGGACTTCCTGTTGCTAATGTGTCTGTGCCACTCGGTGCTCATTAAGGGGGCCTCCGAGCGCAAGACGACCGACCACCAGGGGACGGGCAGCAAGAACTCGACAACGACCGCCGCCAACGCCCAGGAGAGCGGCGGCAGCAACAAGGTATCCCCCGCCACATCATCGCCCAAGCACCTGCAGAACCCCTGCCTCGCACACCAGCCCACGGCCTCTGATGCCCCGGTCAGCCCACAACAGTCTGCACGTCGCCCCGAACGGCCGCTTGTGACGGGCCGCCCCCCGGCCGTCGACACGGACATCCCGCCCTCGCCCCCTCGGTCGCTGCATCCGGATCCTATAACCGATTTGCCGATGGACGACAGCCGGAGGATGGCGGAGGGCCACCTCGAGGCGACGCTTGACCTGTACCTGACGGACAGGGAGCTGGACAGCCCAGGGACAGTGCGGGTGTGGGCGGGGATGCACGGCATCGGCGACATTGACGACGTCGAGGACGTCCATGCCACGGTGATCCGGGAGAGGGAGGCTGTGGCCGTGCACGCCGCGAGCCCTGCTGAGGACAATGGCCAGGGGGAAGGAGGAGGAGGACAAGACAACGAGGCAGCGAGCAGTAAGGACGAGAGGCTGGAACAAGACGGAGAGGAGGAGGAGGAGGAGGAGATCGACATCGTCGAGTACGACGCCTCCTCCCCCGACGAGCTCGCACTCGTGGCGGGCGCGCGGCACATCGGCATGGAGTTCTACGCCAGACCGTCCCTCAACACCCTACAGATCCGGCTGCTCAACGCGTCCATGAAGAAGCTCCTCCTGCCCCTCATCAAGCTCATCCCCACTCAGCCGTCGATCAGCCCGTCGCTCAGCCCAGAGTGCTCTCACCCGCCCTCGCCACAGCAGTCGCCCAGCGCACCGCCACGGCTGGGGGAGAAGATGCAGCCTCTTGATGAGAATGGGGAGGGTGGTGGGGCTGGTGGGGATGGTGAGGGCGACAGGGATATAATTTACTCGCGGATTCGGTCGCCGTATTCGCTGCTCGAGTATGAGATACTGGACGTGCTCGAGTTCGACAACGATCGCAAGCGGATGTCCGTCATAGCACGGTGAGTCGTGTCTGTCCATGGAGGGGTGGGGGGATGGTTGGGGGAGAGAGAGGCGGCGTGGGAGTCAACGCATGTGTGTGTGTGTGTGTGTGTGTGCAGAGGTGTGGATGGCGGGATCATGCTGCTGACCAAGGGTGCCGACTCGTCGATGCTCACCATCGCCGCAACAGGACAAGACCTAATCCTCAAACACATTCGGGCAAGTGACAACCCCTTGACCCCCTCCCCCACTCCAACACACCATCTCTCTCTCCCTCTCTCTCTCTCTCTCTGTGTGTGTGTGTGTGTGTGCATCATATCTGCAGGCCCAGCTGTCCCTGTTTGCGCAAAAGGGTCTCCGCACCCTCGTGATGGGTCAGCGAGAGATCCCCGAGACCGAGTTCGACAGGTTCCACCACGAGTACCTTGACGCCCGAGGCGACGTGAGTGACAACCGCAGCGCCAAGATGAAGGCGTGCATCGAGGGGGTGGAGAGGAATCTCACCATCGTGGGCTGCACGGGCATCGAGGACCGGCTGGCCGACCAGGTGCCCTCGGTCATTCAGGACCTCAAAGACGCCAATATCAAGCTGTGGGTGCTGACTGGGGATAAGATGGAGACGGTGAGGCAGGCGGTTACAGAGAGAGAGTCTCAGAGAGAGGGAGGGATGT